CCCCTTAATAAGCAATTAGTAGAGCTCCCCATAGTACACTATTGGAAAATTATTATACAAAGGTTAGTTTGAATGCTTGAAAAAATTTCCTGAGTGCCTGCAAGGCCCAAAGGAAATTTTTGAATGCATTTAATCTAACCTAAGTATAATAATTTTCCATTTAGTGTACGATGCATGCTCTACTAATTGTTTTTTAAGTCAATCACCGTCTTTTAATTTTAGTTTTTTTATAACCAATTATTGTAGCAGTCATCGGTTGCTATAGTGATATGATCAGTATACGTGTGCGTACCTTTAGCTGTGCGTATGCTGATTTTTGCTTCTGCAGTACGCATCTAATTTACACATCAGCAGTACAGTACGGATACGATGAATAACTATTGTGTTAAAAAGAACTTGTTTGTAATGCTATTTCGATAGACTTTCGTCAAAGAAATAAACATTTCAGCATTCGAGGGAGAATACAGTACAGTCACTGACTTCCTTTTTGGTCGGTGCATGCAGACAGGTAAAATCGTGCGATGATTTCATAACTAGGCTAGGCTACGGCCTAGTAGGAGGTAGCCCGGTTGGCTAATTTTGAATGAAAAAATTTAATTAGCCAAATCCAGTTTTTATTAGGATTTGGCTATTTGGCTAATGACAGCTTAAACACTGAGTTTAATAAAACATTATTTTGAAAGAAAGTTTGCATTTACATAATTTGCTTTTGTTTTTCCAGACTCGAACTCAACGTGCAGCAATCCACCCTTACCGTTGTTCATCAAGGTTTCCTTACAAAGACAGTAAGACTTGATTGAAACTGTTTCAAGTGTACAACAATAGACCTATTATGTTTGCTTTACTCATACACAATGTTTAAACAGTGTCTTTTTCACTAATAAGAATTGAAAAAAAAATTAACAAATGCATTTTTTTTCAGTAAAAAAATGGACCAGGAAAAAAAAATATTGGGATGCGTTAAAAATGAAATTCACCATACTTCATGCATCTAATGTTGAAAAGAAGAACACTGCATTTTGTAATAATGCTATTGCCGCTGAAGATCAATGCAATAGGTAAATTTTACATCCTTGTATCTTTGATTATTTTTGACTCAGCAGTGCCTCTTCATTGTTTAAGCTAGCCAAAAACAATATTTAGCAGTTTGGTAAATTTGGTATAAAAGTAGGCAATATAAAATTTGATTAGCAAAAACAAAATATTCTTTTATAAAAAATGATAACTTTAATTCCATTAGCTTTTTAGGCAAATTGCGAATGAAAATATCTATCAAAAATTAGGTTTTATTTAGGATTTGGCTAATGACAGCTTAAACACTGCCATACTACTGTACAACTTTTAACATTTCATCAAAACAATAGGTTAGATTTTACATCTTTAATGTATCTTTGATTATTCTTGACTCGTATCATCCATGATAATCACATTCTTTTTTTTATCAGCCTGTTGAAACTTTCCAGAGACTTAAATTGATTAAAATTTTGTGTTCTTATTCGTGTTATTATTGTTATTGATCGCAATGAGACCAAAACATTTAAAATTACATTTATTGTATGCATACCAACGAACGATAAAATTTGTGACGGTCATGCATAAATGATTCCATTCTAGCACCGTGTCCCCGCACAAATCGAAAGCTCAACAATAGGCTGTGCCTTGCATTTAAGTTATTTAGCCCTCTGGAACAAAAGATATAATTTGTGCTTTAAACTACTGTACACCATTCCGTACAGTGGTGATGGAGGCTGGTAGGCCTGTCATGGCTCTCTCATTCTTATTATGTAATTATTTATTAATCAGGGGTTGCGTCAGTATTAGCCCGATGGGGGCCGATGATGATTTTTTGTGTATTTATTTACTTGTTTATTACCAGGGCTTGCCCTAACTTTTTTTGGTAACTAGCCCACTGGGCTAGTTTACTAGAGATTTTACTAGCCCACAGAATATTTTAGTAGCCCACAGACAGGATATTTATTAGCGACAATTAAATTTGAAGGTTGATTTGCAATTTCATAATTTCTGTAGCATTGCTGTTTGAGCTACCCTCTCAAAATATTGTTGAATAAATAAATAAAAAAATCACCCATGCTGCAAAATCGACTCTGGTTATAACAGTGACAGATGAGCATGTTTTACATCTCCCTGGTTATAACTTTGGCTTTCTAATATTTCTAAAGGGCCGTGAACATCTGTTAAATCTTTAGGTCTCAAGTCACTCACCCCCAATGGCAATAAATCTTGCTTAGGCTACCTAGGCTAACTAGGCCTAGACAAGACCTAGGGCCTGGGCTAGCCTAGCCTACCTATAGCATTGAAATACTTATTATTAAAAGTTGAACATTTTTAAAATATCATTATAAGGTAGTACATTAAATAAAATGTTCTAACTACCTAAATTAACCAGATTGAACGATCAAACGATCTTCTATTGAGAGAAAGATAACATGCCATCCTGTAGTGCTTGGTGAATGACTTGGGGATCATCTTAATAATTAAACACTCATGCATGTGGAGAGCTGAAAGTTACCTAGAGTGTACTCTCTGGGCTGCGGTACCTCCTGTGCAGGAATTGTCTCGAAAGTTCCGATTTAAAAAAAAAAAAAAATTTTTATAGAAAATGTTCTTCTTGCTAATTTTTCTCCACTAGACAACCGGGCAACATGAGGAGTAAATAGGCTAGCCCGGAGCGGTTTTTACTAGACATTGTACGCCGGGCTAGTACTAAATCGAGCCCTGATTACTTGTTTAGTTAAATTAAAAATTAAGTTTTAAATTTTAATTATATTACGCAATTTGGTCAAACCTACGTATACAGAGAACGTAGGACACCCGTTAGGACAGTCATGCATAAGTGATTCCGTTCTAGCATCGTGTCGTCGCACAAATCGAATTAAGCTCCCTAACAATAGGCTGTGATTTACATTTAAGTTATTTAGTCTTTTGCACTTGTTGTTATTGTTATTCTTGTCGTCATTAGTATTTGTTTTTCTACAGTATGTTATATCAATGCTTTTTATAAAGTGGTATTTATTTATGCAGTTGCAAAAGAAAATAATGGATATTATCGTAATAGTTTTATAAAATTCTTCCTTTTCATCTTTATTGGACTGCAAGGAATCATGCATTATGTATTGGAGGTAAGGGAGAAAACAAATATTTTATACTGATCATTTATTCTTAACGTTAGAAAAAAAAAATGTTGTCTAGATATGTATAAGCTTAGTATGTTTCACCACAAAGGAAACCAAAGCAAACCCAAGAAGGGGACCAAAATATGTTTGGTTTTTGAAAAATTAAATAAAAATTAATGAAAAAATAATATTCCCAGATAATTACCACATAAAGTAGCAAATAATTCAGCTAAATATAGTTATGATTTCTTAATGTTAATTCATTTATTACTACCATCTACAGATACTATAAAATAGTGCTTTAAAACAAATACTGTACATGCAAATATTTTAGTAAAAAAGTAAAGTTTTTATGTAGTTGCAGTGAAGGGGAAAGTTTGTTTACATTAATTGTTTTTATTATTGCTATTAAGACGATGTACATTTCAAACATGACCTGCAAGTTAGTCGTGAGGTGGGGTTTATGGATAAGGTAAGGCTGTTTTGATATTGCTCTATTAATATTACTGTGAATTTGTGAGTGGTCCTAATGTTTCATAATGAGTATTATAAAACATTGGATTTAACCAAAGAAGATGTGTGATCCATCCTTACGAACGAAGGACTATGTTTGAGGCTCTTGCTTTTTATTAGCCCTTCATTTGTGAGGTCTCGCCACAAAATGAGTCTCATTGTTAGAAATTCAAAAATTGAGTTTATATTATATTTCCGGGTAGATCACATTATAAGCTTTCATTTGGACTTTGAATGGCTTTCCTATTATTAAGTAATACAGAGATGTGAGCATTTAAAGTTTAGGTGTATAAGAACCACGTTTTGAGAAAATCAACCTCAAAGATAAACTAACCTGTACAAAATAATATGACTAGAATTACAGAATATGTGCAGAGAACACTGTTTTGGCAAAAAAATTCACTTACAAAGTATACAGTCATAAAATATAAGTATCAAGTTATTCAAAAACATTAAAATCAAAATTTTGTAAAAATATTGACTTTGGCCTGTTTTGGTGAATATCTCAATATGATTTCACCAACGATGCATCTCATTTCGTGGTGAGACCTCACATTTGTTCTCTACTAAGTCCATCCAACTGGCTATAATATTAGTGAATAATATATGCATTAATTATGGAGTTACACCCTTCTGAAATCTTGAAAAATGCAATCGTTACAGAAACATTTTCAGAAATCAATTGGAACAGATTTAATAAAAACTTGAAGTGGCAAAAGTCTCCCTTTTTAGGCCTATGCATGCACCCACAGGACTAATGAAAAAATTAACCACTTTGAACAGTGTATAGTATTTTGTGTTATGTATCCAAAAACTTTTAGCTCATGTTATAATAAAGAGATTGCAAATATGGTAATGTTTCATCTGTGTGTTTTTAGTTTTAAATTGCTAATGTTTTTACCGGAGATGAAGCTGTAAAGAGGTATCAATTGACTTCTATAATACCCTGTATTATTATCCTGTGCCCATAATACAATATCTAAATTGTTATGTGATTAGAAAGAATAGTATATAAAATTGATCTTTCACTATTTGTTTGCTATTTTTTTTATTCTCTTTTTATTTTATTGCCTTTTCTTTTTAAAGCTAACTCAGGAGTTCTCTAAGCTTTCGATTAATAGCAATGGTAAGTTTTTTTTTTTCTCATATTAATATTTTTATAAAAATAAAATAACATAAATGCCTTTGTTTTTAATTAAATGAAGTAAGTTCGAACGGGGTACCTAGATTAAGACAGGAATTGCAGTATTGGAAATATTTAGAAGTTGTAAATATATTTGATATATTAACAAGATACAGACTTCTGTTGTTATGTATTGCTTTAAGTTCAATAATAGCAATACTCGCCTTTCACATAATTACCTACCTCTATAACACATTCTCATGCTTCTCTGGTTTCGCTTGGCAAAAGACACTGTTTGAATCCCAGTATTATTTGTAATAGTCCTTATTGTACAACTATAACATCAAAACAACTACTACAACAACTACTGTACAACAACTACAGCAACAACAATAGCAACAACTACAACAGTTTTTTTTTTATATATGAATTTCTGAACTTACTATAACAAATTATTATACAATAATTAATAAAAATAAATAATTTTTAATTCTCCATGTTTTTCATTGGTTTTTTTCAAATTAGCGGTTTTGAGAGAATTCACTCTGGTGGCTGGGGTCTTAGCCCATTATTCTCTCTTGGCCTGCTACTAACCAGTTTTTGTTGTACCCATTGTTTTTCTTTCAAATATGTTTGGTGTGTGCCAAATTTATAATAAATAAATAAACAAGAATTATTGTGACTTCATTTCACACCTTTCTAAAATACTGTTGCATTACCCTTGAAGATATTATTTTACTAATGATTTTCATTTGTTATATTTCTTAATGGTTCATTCATGAATATTTTTTATATCTGTGATGTTAAAACCAGCAACAAACCAAACTAACTAGACATATTTTTTTTTCATCACTTAGACTCAGTTGTTCACGTGCCTGAAAATTTGAAATACAGTGTGGACCAGGTAAGACAGCCATTTTTATTGTATTGTCCAGTTAACAATTGTTGGCTACTTTGCAGCTGCTTTTAATACTAAAATACTTCTATTTAAAATTAGTGTGATATTTCCACACATTTTGGTTTTTACAATATTTCTATTGAACCCTTTCCAAACAAGGCTCTTGTTGCCCTATACGGCCTAGCCGTTGAAGACATAGGCTCAGCAAAACCCTGTGGCCCGTGGGCATTTTTGTATTGAACCCATTGCGAACAAACCTGTTGTAGTCCAAGTTATGGACTAGCCGTTGAAGCAAAGCCATGTTGGTCTGCTATGACAAGCCTATGCAAAGTTAACATATTACAAATTATAGACGATTACAGCAACCACTAACTCAACTCCAGCTGTCACTCGATGTTTATTTATTTACTTTCACCTTCCCAATGGCTGGCTTGAGCCTAACAAAGTTTTTTTATTCATGGGTAGTTGTACAATGGGATCTTTATTTTGTGATTTCAATTATATCACACTAATAACTTTCTTGAAATATATCAATCTTAAAACTTTAATACTTTTATCGTGAAAAGATTGCTAATATTAACAAGAAAGCAAAAGAAACGTTAGACTTTAGAGGTACAGCTACTGCTAAATTGGCAGCATACATATGTCATGTGGCATTAGCAAGTTTTCGTACCAAGGACACTCACTAGGCCTAATTTTACTCAGAAAGGTGAAGCACATGGTTAGTGATGTGTCTCGCGAGACACTACACGACTACACTCTCCGCAGAAATCATGTTTTCTAATGATGACATAATAATTGTTTAAATATTGAATCCCAACACGATGCTTATCTGAAATTATTCAGCGGAGCTTTCGGTTTTGGAAACCACTTGTTGTTTTAAAAAAAATACAGTAGTGAGAGTTAGTGATCATACATCGTAGCAAGAGGTAATTTTTGGAGGATAGTTTATCATTTCCTGCTCAAATTTAACACAACATTTATGCTTGTTTAATTTAGATATTCTGTGAACTTAAATTTGCAGGTTGTGTTAACAAGATGTTTTCTTTCTTTAAAAACCGAAAGGTCCACAGATTCTTTTCAGATAAGATAGTATAATACATACTCAAAGTATTGCAATGCACGCCATCGTGTTGGGATTCAATATTTCGACATTAATTATGTCATCATTCCTGATGATGGCATAATTGTTGAAATATTGAATTCCGACCTGATGGCGTGCATTTTGATGGAGTATATATTATACTATCTTTTCTGTCTTTGTTTTCACGATCTGGGGTAGGATTCGACTTGCAACAGCGCGATGGTTCAGGCTCAATATAGAAACAGATCTATACATACGTGCGAACAGATACGACTATAACCTGTATGACATGTTTTTGTTATTAACCTTACATCGTTTAACCTCCTGGATACAACACATTGTTGTATCAGACTTGATTTATTTAGGCCAGCATGTAGCACTGACTTACCTTGGCATTTAAAAGTAGATTTATGTCAGTGTACCCTCTGGATTACGATCCTTATTTGGAAAACTGTTAATAATAATAATAATAATAATAATAATAATAATAATAATAATAATAATAGAATATTTATATAGCGCCAGATCTAAATAATGTCATCAAAGGCACTGAGCTTTATTAATAATGGAATATTGATGCATCAAAAAAGAAAATTATTGTGTTGGCCACGCCTGACCGACCCAAATTTTATAAAATTAAGGATCGGCATTTTAGTTTTTTTTTTCAATAACAAACAATATTTTTTTGTGAGCAAATAAGGCTGCATGGAATAGCCTTGGGAGAAGTTAGGTGCCAAGGCTAGCCTATTTTGCTGGATGGTACGCGATGCGAATCTAAATTAGTTGTATTATTTGTGTATTTGAGCAATTTCACAGTAAATAGACATGCTCCAAGCAATATTTTTTAGGAAGCTATAACTAAAGATTTTATTGTTTAAAATTAAATATTTTTACATTTATATCATCATATCAATGAGTATACATATTAAAAATCATTTCATGATCACACAATTCACATTAAAAAATATAATGATAAATTGACATATTTTTAGCCATATTTCACCATACAAAAATGTTACATGACAAAAATGTCTAACATTAGATGGAGGATATTTTTTTAAAATTGTATTATAAGGATGGATTCATTATTTCTATAAGAAATATATTGGAAACTAATAAGATAAAACACTAGAAAGAAAAATAAAACCCTTTTTTATTAAAAAAATA